GCTTTCGTTGATCATGCCACCATGATCCAGGTACATTTTGGTGAAAGTCTGACTTTGCCTGTAATTTGAGGCTGTTCCTAACATAGAAACCTTTGCTGCCAACTCTAACATAGTACAGACACAGCTCCTCCATGTTGGGGACAAGAACTCTGTCATTGGCAAGGTCTTGTCCAAACTCAAGGCAGCTTTAAGCTCCTGATAGGATCCAGACGTCCCTTTGGAGAAGGCTTCGTCTGGTGTAAATACTTGTCTTTATTTTAAACTCTAATTGTAAACTCTCTTTTTGTTGTTGATTAGATGTCAATAAATCTATATATATAATTGCCTTATTCTGTCTGAAGCTCACGGATAGAATGCGCGCCCATTGGCTGCCGGCGAACACGTGTCCTCCCTGCCCCCCTCTAGACAACCCTGTTATCAGCTGTGTGATACATACACCTGTCTATAGCGGCCATTCTAGACAACCCTGTTATCAGCAGTGTGTTACATCCACCTGTCTATACAGACCACCCTGTCTATAGCGACCACTGACCACCCTGCCTATAGCGACCACTCTAGACAACCCTGTTATCAGCTGTGTGATACATCCACCTGTCTTTACAGACCACCCTGTATATAGCGGCCATTCTAGATAACCCTGTTATCAGCTGTGTGATACATACACCTGTCTATAGCGGCCACTCTAGACAACCCTGTTATCAGCTGTGTGATACATCCACCTGTCTATACAGTCCACCCTGTCTATAGCGGTCACTTTAGGCAACCCTGTTATCATCAGTGTGTTACATTCACCTGTCTATACAGACCACCCTGTCTATAGCGGTCACCTTAGGCAACCCTGTTATCAGCAGTGTGATACATACACCTGTCTATACAGACCACCCTGTCTATAGTGGCCACTCTAGACAACCCTGTTATCAGCTGTGTGATACATACACCTGTCTATACAGACCACCCTGTCTATAGCGACCACCCAAGACAACGTTTTTAAAATATATTCGCACTCGGGTAAAACCCGGGCGTTGCCCGGGCCATTCGTCTAGTTATTTTTAATTGTCACAGCTCCTCCATATCCCTGAAGAGGAACCCTTGCCGAGTTCTATCAACTGGGTCAGTTGAACTCAGGATTTTTATAGAGGTTTTTGAAAGACCTCTTTCAAGGTTACCTGAAAGAGAATAGATAGAAAACAGACCTTGTTGTCATGGCACCAGAAGCAGCTGTCCTGGCCAGGCTCCCAGTTGGAAGCCTCAGTCGGTTCCAGCTCTGTGTGACCACACCAATACAGTTAAACAACTGTGTACATACGTAAGCTGACAACTTGGGTGACACACAATTTCCAATAGAGTGAGAGAGAAGTTCTGGGGAGAAATCACCACTCAGTATCTTGCCTCGTTGTGTTTGGTCATTGCTGGATAAAAAGGAGAAGGGGAAGCAGTAACAAGCTCACTAAAAAACCTGGGCTCAGCTGGCCCGGCTGATAGTACCCTGTAAGTGCTCCTAATCCAGGGATACAGGATGAGCAGCGTTTGTACTCCACTAGCCGAATGACCCGGGCAACGCCCATGTTTTACCCGATTGAATGTTTTGATTCAAATACTATTTGTTACAATTATAAATTGGCGCCTTAAATAAATGCATATATTAGTTAATAACTATAGCCTATGTGCTTTATCTGTCTATGTACTGTTGGCTTCCGTAGGTGTCTCTTACTGGGAAAAAGAAAGAGGATTCCATTTAGTTATTAACTAATATATGCATTTATTTAAGGAGCGACCCGCTCCAACACAATAGTTACAAAAATGAAAAAGCGAGTGGGGGAGGCATGATGGGTGGGGGGGGGGGGGGGGGGGGGGGGGGGGGGGGGGGGGGGGGGGGGGCAAAGGTGGCGTGATCGTAGCCAACCAATAGGAGGGCGCCATTCCAAAAAAAAGCAAACGGTGACAGAGATGATTAGGAGATGAAGAATGACGCTCGTAACTGTATATAGAATGTTAGAAGCGGCTGTACATGGTGTCTGTTCCTCATGTCAGAGGCAGCCATTTCTTTTGGAGCTAAGTAGGCCTGCCACTGAGTAGTGCTCCCAGTCTTAATGACAAGGCAGACGCATTCTACTTCACCCAGACATGATGGTTGTCAAAACTTGATACCCTAATATGACTGAGTGGAGATAAGAAAGAAGAAGAAGAAGAAACATTGCAGCAATTTGTCTTTTAAAAATCATTTACATTTACATAACAAATTGTGTCTTCAGCTAGACCATATGCAATAAATCCAAATTGAACCATCTAACTTGAGAAATCCACTAAAGCTGAAGTAAAGAAACCATTGCTCTCTTGGAATGACCAACAAAACAGGAGAAAGTTACCATATGGACCTACCATGTATAACACAGCTCTAATAGCTTGAAAACACCCATTGGAGGCTATTTAGTTAGGTCGAGTCTTTTGGTTTGACAAAGTTTATGGCTCATGGGCGGTGTTTCTGTATCAACATTCTAGGGTAATTAAAGATAATTTTCCTAGGTTCAACCACTGCATAAAGCAACATACAGACAGGACAACTTTAGGAAATTGACAAACAAAAACGAAACATATGTGGAATTTTTAAATCTTGATATTGTTGCACCAGGCTGTGGTTTGGCAGATTCCTCAGTCTTCATTCTCTCCTCAGACGCATCTTGCATCTTTCCAGAACATGTCTCAACCATCCTACAAGGTTAAACCAGTCAATAATAAGACAACTATATATTTAGGTAGCACCTAGAATATCTCTTTCTTTATCACATCAAAGTTTAAATCAGGTGGTGTATTCAGTGTATCAAAATACAAATTATTTTATAATACATATTATTTTGTAATAATATTCTGTTTCATAAAAATAAATAAATATAAAATTAAGATTTGAAATATATGGAAAATATTATAAATATTTTTTAAAATATGCGCATTAATCATGATGCAACAATTTTCAGCCTTTTTCTAAAATTACCATTGTTTAGACAACCAAAAAAAATTCAACACTCCTTTTGTAACTCAAATTTGAAACCATAATTGTGTAATTAGCTAATTGAAAGATCAAATACAGTAGAACCTACATGAGCGGAAACAACTAACAAAAGACACAAGGTAATAAGACCAAATCCACCAAGACCAAGTATTTGGTCTTATTACCTTGTGTTTATAACCTACTAGCCGAATGACCCGGGCAACACCCGGGGTTTACCCAATTGAATGCTTTTATTAAAATACTATTCATTACAATTATAAATTGGCGCCGTGGATGTCATTCTTGTATAATATATAAATGAGTTTTAAAAATTGTAAAAAAAAAAATGCATCGGCAGGGAATCGAACCCGGGGCGCCCGCCACTATAATATATAAATGAGTTTTAAAAATTGTAAAAAAAAAATGCATCGGCCAGGAATCGAACCCGGGGCGCCCGCATGGCAGGCGAGCATTCTACCACTGAACCAAAAGCAAACTGTGACAGAAGTGTCTCGTGCATTGGCGGCACCCAAATGATGGGGGGGGGGGGCAAAGGTGGCATGATCGTAGCCGACCAATTGGAGGGGCGCCATTCCAAAAAAAAGTAAACGGTGACAGAGATGATTAGGAGATGAAGAATGACGCTCGTAACTGTATATAGAATGTTAGAAGCGGCCTTGTACATGGTGTCTGTTCCTCAGTCAAGAGGCGGCCATTTCTTTTGGAGCTAAGTAGGCCTGCCACTGAGTAGTGCTCCCAGTCTTAATGACAAAGGCAGACGCATTATACTTCACCCCAGACATGATGGTTGTCCAAAGCTTGATACCCTAATATGACTGAGTGGAGATAAGAAAGAAGAAGAAAACATGGCAGCAATTTGTCTTTTAAAAATCATTTACATTTACATAGCAAATTGTGTCTTCAGCTAGACCATATGCAATAAATCCAAATTGAACCATCTAACTTGAGAAATCCACTAAAGCTGAAGTAAAGAAACCATTGCTCTCTTGGAATGACAACCCCCAAAACAGGAGAAAGTTACCATATGGACCTACCATGTATAACACAGCTCTAATAGCTTGAAAACACCCATTGGAGGCTATTTAGTTTAGGTCGAGTCTTTTGGTTTGACAAGTTTATGGCTCAATGGGCGGTGTTTCTGTATCAACATTCTAGGGTAATTAAAGATAATTTTCCTAGGTTCAACCACTGCATAAAGCAACATACAGACAGGACAACTTTAGGAAATTGGACAAACAAAAACGAAACATCTGTGGAATTTTTAAATCTTGATATTGTTGCACCAGGCTGTGGTTTGGCAGATTCCTCAGTCTTCATTCTCTCCTCAGACACGTCTTGCATCTTTCCAGAACGTGTCTTAACCATCCTACAAGGTTAAACCAGTCAATAATAAGACAACTATATTTTTAGGTAACACCTAGAATATCTCTTTATTTATCACATCAAAGTTTAAAGCAGGTTGGGTATTTAGTGTATCAAAATACAAATTATTTTATAATACATATTATTTTGTAATAATATTCTGTTTCATAAAATAAATAAATATAAAATTAAGATTTGAAATATATGGAAAATATTATAAATATTTTTTAAAATATGCGCCTATTAATCATGATGCAACAATTTTCAGCCTTTTTCTAAAAGTTACCATTGTTTAGACAACCAAAAAAAATTCAACACTCCTTTTGTAACTCAAATTTGAAACCATAATTGTGTAATTAGCTAATTGAAAGATCAAATACAGTAGAACCTACATGAGCGGAAACAACTAAACAAAAGACACAAGGTAATAAGACCAAATCCACCAAGACAAAGTATTTGGTCTTATTACCTTGTGTTTATAACCTACTAGACGAATGACCGGGCAACACCCGGGGTTTACCCAATTGAATGCTTTTATTAAAATACTATCATTACAATTATAAATTGGCGCCGTGGATGTCATTCTTGTATAATATATAAATGAGTTTTAAAAAATTGTAAAAAAAAAAAATGCATCGGCCGGGAATCGAACCCGGGGCGCCCCGCCACTATAATATAATAAAATGAGTTTTAAAAATTGTAAAAAAAAAAATGCATCGGCCAGAATCCGAACCCGGGGCGCCCGCATGGCAGGCGAGCATTCTACCACTGAACCCAAAAGCAAACTGTGACAGAAGTGTCTCGTGCATTGGCGGCACCAAATGATGGGGGGGGGGGGGCAAAGGTGGCATGATCGTAGCCGACAATTGGAGGGCGCCATTCCAAAAAAAAGTAAACGGTGACAGAGATGATTAGGAGATGAAGAATGACGCTCGTAACTGTATATAGAATAATCCCAAATTGTGCTTTAATCGAACAGCTTTCATGGCCAAAATAAACATTTTTGCCAATTAGCTGCTCTTTGGTAGGAGAACATTTCTCTAAAGTAGACTTTGACTCTACAAATAGGTGTTCTTTAGAGAAAGGTTCTAATTGTTAAAACAACATTTGAAAATTATCCCGCATGTGTTTCTTTTGAACGAAATATCAAAATTTATTTTAAGGAGAAATAACGAATATTTCTAACCCTTAGGGATGAAGTATGAAAGGATGTATTGTGAAGAGTAATGATAAACGGAAAAATAAAGTGTCCAGGGATGGGAATCGAACCCACAGTGTTCCGCTTACCGGGTTAGATAGGAAATAGGCTACCCTGGACATATTTCCAGGGTACATGTCCAGGGACATAAAATATGTCCAGGGCTAGCCTAGTGGACATGGCATCTGCCCGGTAAGCGGAACACTGTGGGTTCGATGTGTATATATATTTACCTATATATAAATTAAAAATAAAGAAGGCATCTCCTGACCACAAGCACATGTGCTTTTTAGATGGCAGAGCGCCATCTAGTGGAGTAAAAATAACTAAACGTTTATTTAGCTTACTCCGAGATATTTGGCCAACCCAATTTCTTGATAAATCAAGGAAAAGCCATCCACGAACGCGTTTCGCGCTGTTGGTGCTCGTCAGCGTGGAGAAGGCTGTAACCATTGCGACCAAAAAGATTTTTTGGACCCAATGGCTTCCCGAGAAATCAAGAAATGGGTATTTAAGGCCAAATTTGCGTAAAGACGCTTAACACATGAAAAAACAATAGAAAAAATAATAGATAAAGTGGGTCAGGTGTTGATATTAAAAATAAAGAAGGCATCTCCTGACCACAAGCACATGTGCTTTTTTTTTGGTCGCAATGGTTACAGCCTTCTCCACGTGACGAGCGCCAACAGCGCGAAACATGTTCGTGGATGGCTTTTCTTGATTTATCAAGAAATTGGGTTGGCCAAATATCTCGGAGTAAGCTAAATAAACGTTTAGTTTATTTTTACTCCACTAGAAGGCGCTCTGCCATCTAAAAAGCACATGTGCTTGTGGTCAGAAGATGCCTTCTTTATTTTTAATATCAACACCTGACCCACTTATCTTTTATTTTTTTCTATTGTTTTTTCATATATATATATATGTGTTATAAATAGAAAAAAGGAGTGTATAAAGCACAATTGTGCTTGTAATTTCTTGTATTAGAAAAAAGGAGATTTTCTCTGCTTGATTTTTGAATGTCTTGAGAATTATGCTATGTCAATGCAGTCGTGGTTAAAATCTTGAAACTATAATAAATGAAATTAGTTATCAAAAAATAGCTTTAATTGAGCTAATGGGATATATAAAAACAACATAATTCGATAAAAGTAAGGCGTAAGAATAAAAAAATTAAAAACTTATTTACATAATGTACAAAAGGTTTGAGCCGGCCATCGGGATACAACTACAATGGGTTTTTATAGGGGAAGCGTGACTTCTGGCGGTCGATTTAGCAGTAGTATTTGAATCTATGAAATATAATTTTTAAAAATATATATATTTTTATATAACATATATTATCTTCTAGTTTCATGGAAAGTTGCTGTTGAAGGACGTCAAAGTCCGAAAGCTTGCCGATTATACAGCATTAATAAAAGAAACATGTCGCCATAAACTTTTATTCCTTCTACAAGATGTTGTCAGGCGATTCTTCTCTTGTAAAACACAATAAACAAAAGTAGAAAATAAATAAGCTAAAACCCTCCATGACCTTCCTGATTGAACACTGTAATAAAATCAGAACTGAATTGAACTAATTCAACCTCCAAATGAGATTGGTGTATTTTAAACACAGACTTTCAAAAAAGATTCACCTTTAGTGATAAATAATAGTAATTTATTAGTCATTAATAAAATGTGTGAATTTTATTTCTCCCACAAAAAATCCAGGTCAATATCTGTTTCAGTAGATTATGAAATATCCAGTCTGTCTCAACCTAGTTTCCCATTGAAACTTGACAATCTGTCATAACCTCATATACCTTCTGTTGGAAAAGAAGGAGTTCGAAGCAGCCAATGGGAGGTTGACGGAAGCGGCTACGGGGATGCAGCGGCTAAAATGAGAAAACAAATAACAGAAGAACCTGTAAACAACTTTCGAATGGTAGAATTTGCCCTGATCCCCGATTCTTTTAGTGTGAATATTTAAATATATAATTAATTAAAAACTACTTTACTTATTTTCTTAATTTATAATAAATATAATTTTCCCTCCTGTTTTCGTCTAATATTTCAATAGTGCTACAAGCAGCGACACCTCAATTTTGAACCTTCAACCCCGCCCGACCAAGAATAGGAGGTGAGTGACTACCTCTATAGAACTTAGATCGTCGTCACAACACAGAGTGGCGGTTGAAATTGCAATACCTTCAATCACAAACATCACTCATTATCTATTTGGATTTGGTCTTATTACCTTGTAATTCTAATTTATAATCCAAATAGTGCCTTTATCATATATCCTCAATGTTTGACAAGGCATTTGCATGGTAATTTGTGGATGCATTGTAAAGATTTTTTTTTTCTTACTCGCTTAGTGATTCACAGAAAAAAAAAAATACACTTTTCCCAACCAATTTTAACCAATTTTTTAAGTACAATAAAACCTCCATGAGAGGACACTCATGCTAGAGTGCACCTATCTACAAAGGACAGTTTACATTTGCAAAATTATCATTTTTACTATTTAGTAACTCTCCAGTAAAAGGACACTTTGGCTTTGCAATTAGGTGTTGTCCTTTACAGGGAGGTAGTTCTACTGTACTTTGTGGATGTAAAGATGCAGCACTTAAAACCCCAATAACATCTCAACACATTCACTAAGCACTAACTAAACTAAGAATAGTGTTTGTTTCTCATCGAGAAAGCCATGTGAAAAATCTGAAAGCAGAAAAACTAAATTGCCTACTATGCACAAATAAAATCAAGACAGAGAACACAATATACTTGAATGTATATCTCTGAAGACGGAGAGAGAAACTCTTGATTCTGAGATAGGCCGCCTTCACCGTACACTCTCTTCTATCAAGTCTGATAGACAATATTGCTGTATATAATTTCTTCAGAAGAGTTATGGTGGATCTGATAAATTAGTCTTTCCATTATAATAATGATAATTAATCTTCAAAACTTTTTTAAATTCTTTTTCTTCTTTTATTAGACCATGCTTTTTGCTGCATTTCATGAAATATTGTACATATAAAACCCCACTCATCCTGATTATTGTTGTCTACACTCTGGAGAATTTGTGTAAGACCAATGGGGTCTTAATAAAGGCTTTGTGTGTGTGTGTGTGTGTGTCTGTGTGTATATCCACTAAGGAAGAGAAGCAGTTTATTCTGTCAGTATCCCCCAATGTGAGGCCTACTATGTTGGCAGAACCACCTCAGAGAACACCAGAAATACATTTGATAACAATAGATTACTCATCATCTAACATATCTATCACAAATGTTCCTTCACATTTCTGTTTCTGAAATATGCAAATATGGTAGAACTACCTCCCTGTAAAGGACAACACCTAATTACAGAACCAAAGTTTCGTTTAGGGAAAGGTCTCCTTTTACTGGAGAGTTGCTAAAGAGTAAAAACTGGTAATTTTGCAAATGAAAACTGTCCTTTATAGAGAGGTGTCCTCTAGCATGAGTGTCCTCTCATGGAGGTTTTACTCTAATGTAAAACATCTTCTATATAGATCTGATAATCTGTATATAGGATTATGTACCCCCACCACAATCTATCTAAAGCTTTAATAAACTTTAGGCCTCGCAAGATGGGAAAGAACAAAGTACAGGATTGCATCATCCAGGAAGTAAAGGTCACTGCCCTGGACCTATAAAACTTAAGTTCAAAGGCCTTCTTCTTCCTGGAAGATTGCAATCATGGCGGCAATGGAGGGTCAGAGCCAATCCCCTTTAAGGAGGACAAACTAGTTTACCAATCACCAGAGCGCACGTGTGAGGATCTCAGCCAATGAAAAGTCTGAGATATTCGATGACGATTATCTCGGACAAGAAAAAGGCAGAACGTAGGTGATCGTGCCACGAGCTAGGTGTGCTCAACATAGGCTCCAACCAAGGCAGTGTACGCTCCATAGATGTGAAAGGCCAGCCGCCTTTCTTCTCCTCCTTGCAGGTCCTATTCAAACCCATCCAGTTGTGTTGTTCTTCCCCTGTGGGACCTTTGTCACTCGACCAAGACTGCGCCCACCATCCATCCCCACATAGATATGTACCAGTCCTCTCATCTAGGAAGCCCTCATCCAGTGGCCACCTGAGGAGAAGGACGGGATGACGGTCACCAAATCTCATGTTAACCAAAGAGCTTATGTACAAGTTTTTCCTGAACCTTAAGGTGAAGGGGATCAATGAAAACCCTTCCAATATCTGAAGGAGGATTCTTTGTTGTTAGAGGAGCTTCCCAACCTTTAAATAATGTAAATACAGATGGAAATTTTGCCGGGAGGAAATCGATTTATAAAAGCATAGGGTGCCTTTCCCATCAAAATAGATTTCAAAACTAGACGCCAACTTTTGACCATTGCCTCAAATAAGCAGCCTCGGGTCGGTGACAAAGCCACAACAACAGTTTTGGCAAACTGATAAGTGTCCACCTAGACACCATGATTTCGGACTAATGGCCCTCGTCAGCCTAGGGCGGACTTTATTCCATGAGATCCACAAGGGATCTAATGGAAATCTTCACAATCTACCAAAGAGGTGTTAGCTGGCAAGGTGGCTGGGCCAAATCTATGGTCAAAATATA